ACATGGATCGACACACATGGGTAGCAGCAGCACAAGACTCTGGCACACTACCACCTTCTCAAGGGGCAATTATTGGGACGGGCAAGAAATGCTGGGCCCAGCCAGCAACACCCATGTTCCATGAATGAATCTTTTATAAATGTTTTTCTGAGAGCGCTACAGGGTCAGAGAGAAAAAGGTTTGTCGGAGCACAGGACCAGGAGTATACCATTCAGCCCCTCCAGTCTGCTCTCCCATTCAATAAGATCATGGCTATTTTGTGAGTTATTGCCACATACCTTCCTCCACCCCACATCCCTCAATACTGAGGGAGAACAATTAATCTAACAATGTCAGTATTAAAATCAAGAATCAATGTTTGAGTATTTTCTTATCTCGTCTTTGTAAAACCTGGTTCCTGATTCCTCGTGGGAGGAGTCTGACCCGAAGGTTCAGGCCATGACCCCTGGGCTCCAATTCCATCACCAACATCAACCATTTCTCTCTGTCTATTCGATTGCCTCCCCTCAAGGGTCTTGGAAATGTTAATCAAGTCACCCTTTCAACTGTTCAAATTTTGGAGATTATGACCACAGTTTGTGGAACCTCCCCGTGTAATTTTCCCCAACCAGCTCATGTCCCGGTAAATCTGAGCCGTACCATCCACATTAGTGACAAACCCCAAAGTGGGCCGCTCAGTGGCACCCCCTCCTCTGCCTCATCCTTACCCTCCCCTCCTTTCTCCCCCTCCCCCCTCCCCCTCCCCTCTCTCATCACATCCTCCTCCCCCTCTCTCATCCCATCTTCCTACCCTTCCCTTTTACCCATCCATCCCTCCCTCCTCCCCCTCCCTATCCTTCCCCACCCCTTCTTTCTCCCACATCCCTTTTACCCATCCCTCCCTCCATCTCTATCACCCCTCCCTCCTTCCCCTTCCACCATCCCTCCCTCGTCTCCCACCCCTGCTTGCTCTGTCTCCTACAAAGGGTAGACCCTCTCCCTGTTTCCCTATCCCTTGTAGTTCTGCCATTTCCTCTCTAGCTCCATGTGGATTTCTCCCAGTTCCAGCACCAATGAGCAATGTGACTGTCACGGAGACTACAAGAGGTTGTTGCCCAGCCTTCCTCATGGATGATTGAAGGAGACACAAGCCCTGTTTCTGAAGGGCCCTCTGCCCGGGCACAGCCTTGGTCACTGGAGACTTGCCCAATCACTGTGCCAAAACCTTCAAACCCCCAAGCATGGAGCCCCTTACCCGTGGCTTACGAAAAGGGCAGGGACTAACCCCTCATGTCCTCTCTAAGTCGCCCTGGTGTCTCAGCTCCCTGTGGTGTATAGCACGCACTTGTGAAATTTGTTTTTTTGTTCATACATGGGATGAGGGCATTTATTGCTTATCCCTAATTGCCCAGAGGGCAGTTAAAAGTCAACCACATTGCTGTGGGTCTGGAGTCATGTGTAGGCCAGACCAGGTAAGGATGGCAGATTCCTTCCCTAAAGGGCATTAGTGAACCAGATGGGTTTTTCCCAACAACTGATTCACAGTCATCATTATACTCCAAGTTCCAGATTTTTAATTGAATTCAAATTTCGCTACCTGCTGTGGCAGGATTTGAACCCATGATCATTGCCTGGGTCTCTGGGTTAGCAATGCAGCGATAATACCACTAAGCCATTGCACTAGGCAGTTCCCAGATTTGTCAGCAGCTCCTTCCTACTCTGCAGACCATGATGGAGTATGTCAGCAACACGAGCGATCACAAATCCGCATGGTTCAACATGGAGAACGGCCAGAGGGATGAGGCATTGACGCTTCTCCTGAGCTCGGTGGAGAGCACTGTCATGATGACGATGATAGACATGAACACCACTAACTACAACCTGATGATGACCAGCATTGGTAAGCTTCCGCTAAAAGTCTCGCTACTCACCCAGTCACAGTGAGTCTGATTTGCAAGAGGAGAAAGGTAGACCAGAAGTTCTAGACTGGAGGGCGAGGGGGAGGGAGATGAGGATCTCCCCCATCCTCAACCCCCAAAATGAACCATTCATCATTGACTGAGATAACAAGGTCTAGAGCTTGTAGAACACACCAGGATAAGCAGCTTCAGAGGAGCAGGAATGCTGACGTTTCGGGTCGGGACCCTTCTTCGCTGTGTTCACCCAGCTCTACACCTTGTTAGCACAGATTCTCCAGCATCAGCAGTTCCTACTATCTCATCATTGACTGAGGTAGCCAATTGAATGCAATTTGTCCTCTGCATTTTTTAGGCATTTCACTGGCAGGAGGTTTCAGAGTGTCTTACAGGTGATCAAGACCAGACTGCAGGACCTAAAGGGAGGAGATTTGAGGCATAGAAGGGGGAATGTAGAGTGCTGTTAAAATCAGATAAGCCACGATCTTATCAAATAGTGGCCCACTCTTGTTCCTTGTTCGTCTTCAAGAGGGGACTGCAGGATCATTTGGCTGAGAACCAGTGTGGGCAGGATGGCCTCCTTCTACACCATGACTGTAGCTGGGTCAAAATCCTGGAATTCCCTCCCTGAGGGCATTGTGGGTCAACCCACAGCAGGAGGACTGCAGCAGTTCAAGAAGGCAGCTCACCACCACCTTCTCAAGGGGCAACTAGGGACAGGTCATAAATGCTGGGCCCAGCCAGCGATGCCCAGATCCCACAAATGAATAGAGAAAAAAAATTCTGCCATTGTGCCAACAAAGCCCTGGGGCCAGGAGGTGCTGGGACAATGTCCACAGGCAGTGGTAGATTCCATAGATTGGCATCGTCTGTATGTTTCCGTACCTACCACTCTTAATGTTACCACGAGCTTAATTAAAGGCAGAGATTAAGAGGGTGGGGGTGGGTTTAAAGTGGCAGCCAACAACTGACTCCAGTTGGCACTGTTGCCCTTTGCCAAATGCCGTGTGAGTCCAGACTCTGTGTTGGCCACAGTGATTCCCCCATTGCCCCACTGGCTGCCAATCACCTTTCCTGAACTTGAGTTGGTGGGAGCCAGGAAGAACAGAGTAGGAGACAACAAGGTGCAGAGCTGCATGAACACAGCAGGCCAAGCAGCATCATAGGAGCAGAAAGGCTGACGTTTCGGGCCTAGACCCTTCATCAGAAAAGAACAGAGTAGGATTCCTCGCAATCTCTTCTGTCCCGCTTCCCCCGCCATCCCTCCATCCCGTCAACCTCAAATCAGTACCACAAAGGGGTGAAAAATGGGGAGGAAAATACTGTCATCTGTTATGAAATTTCAGAGATCCAAATCCAAGTTCTTCAGAGCGATAATGGAGCTATGGCCTTATCAGCTAATGGGAATGAGATGGACTTTCACTGGGAAAAACACTGCACTGGTAAGATTTTTTCTCTCCTTGAACAACAAATTCAGAAGCTATAACTCTAGAAGTTCCACAGCCCCTCACCATTCCAATGTCTGCTAATCTCTGTATTCATTTCTCCTTGCAATGATAAGGGAAGCTTTTTGAACTGTCTGAAACTGGTTTGTATCCTTTCATGATTTTCTTTCATTTATATGTGGATCTATAACTACTTCAGGATCTATAACAATGATTATCTGAAGAATCTTAACTAAAACCTACTCTTAATGTTGTAACAGATTTATTAAATATGTGGGGAGGTGATGGCCTAGTGGTATTATTGCTGGACTGTTAATCCAGGGACCCATATAATGTTCTGGGGACCCGTATTCAAATCCCACCATGATAGATGGTGGAATTTGAGCTCAATAAATATCTAGAATTAAGAGTCTAATGATAACCATGAATCCATTGCCAATTGTTGGGGAAAAACCCATTTGGTTCACTCATGTCCTTTTGAGAAGGAAACTGCCATCCCTACCTGGTCTGGCCTACATGTGACTCCAGACCCACAGCAATGTGGTTGACTCTCTCTGCCCTCTGGGCAATAAATGCTGCCTAGCCAGCAACGCCCTCATCCCATTAATGAATAAAGGAAATAATTCAAGTGAGATTAGCATGGATTAGCCTGTGTCTTGTGTGCCAAGGACTGCAGCTGACCTAGTGTAAAAAATGTCATCGTCTATGTCTTATGCACATTCAGCTACAGAGCTGCTACTGTTCAAATATTTTACTGTCAGACCTGTTGTGCTACATCAACCATGGGTAGTCGTCGGCCATTTTGTGCTGCTCAGTCATGGACAGTCCTAACATCCCTCCCTTTCTCTGCAAACTCCTTCAGTCTCACCAATCCCCGAGGTGCCTGCACCCCGCTGCCCCCGCCCTCTAATGCTGGTCCCTAGATTTACCCCAATTTTAATCTCTCTGTCTCTGCTCCTCTAACCTCCCTGCCCCCTCTCCCTCTTAACCTCCCTGTCCCTCTCCCTTTCTAAACTTCCCTGCCCCCCTCCCTCCCTAAACCTCCCAGCCTCCTCCCTCTCTAAACTTTCCTGCCCCTCTCCCTCCTTAAATCTCCCTGCCCCTCTCCCTTTCTAAAGCTTCCAGCCTCCTCCCTTCCTAAACCTTCCTGCCCCTCTAACCTCTCTAAAACTCCCTGCCCCTCTCCCTTCCTAAACCTTCCTGCCCCTCTAACCTCCCTAACCCTCTCCACTCTTCTCCCTGCCTAATCCGCTCTGTTTCTCCATCTCCCTTTTGCTCACTCTGAAATCTCATTAAAGTTTTGGTCAGGTATGATACTGCCTTATGTGGCTAAGTTGGGATCTAATGTTGTTATTTAATGTTCCTCAGAAACAAACTTGTGACATTTTGTTATGTTAAGGCCGTTATAAGTTGTCATTGTTAGTTTTATAAGTGGGTGATTATATGTAAATGTTTGTGGTTATCATATAGATCGTATAGAGAGATGCCTTTGGAAATTACACAAACAGATCTGGATCAGTTGTGCTTCTAACTCACACTGAGCTAAACAGGACTAAGGTCTACCATAGAGCACAGAGAGTTAATTCAGCTCTGCCTGCACTGGTCCCAAGTAATACCTGACTAGCATTGGATACAATAGTAAGGAGGTGATGTTGAACTTGTACAAGGCCTTTGGTAGACTCAGCTGGGGTCTTATGTACATTTGTGGACCCCACACTACAGGAAGGATGTGAATGCATTGGAGAGACTGTAGAAGTGATTTTGAAGATTGGTTCCAAGAATGAGAAACTTCAATGGTGAGGATAGATTTGAAGAACAGAAACAAAAGTTGCTGGAAAAGCTTAGCAGGTCTGGCAGCATCTGTGAAGGAGAAAACAGAATTAACATTTCGGGTCTGGTGACCTGAGGAAGGGTCACCGGACCTGAAACGTTAACTCTGTTTTTTCCTTCACAGATGCTGCCAGATCTGCTGAGCTTTTCCAGCAACTTTGTTCTTGTTCCTGATTTACAGCATCCTCAGTTCTTTTGGTTTTTATTTAGATTTGAAGAAGTTGGGACTATTCTCATACAATCATTGAGCACAGAAACAGACCTTTCAGTCCAAACTGTCCATGCTGACCATAATCCCAAACTAGACTAGTTCCACTAACCTGCGCTTGGCCCATATCCCTCCAAACATTTCTTTTTTATGTACTTATCCAAATGTCTTTTAAACACTGTACCCACATCCATCACTTCATCTGGAAGTTCATTCCACACATGAACCACTGTCTGTGTAAAAAAAAACATGCCCTTCCTGTCTTTTTTAATTCTGTCTCCTCTCACCATAAAAATGTGCCCCCAAGTCTTGAAATCCCCCACCCTAGGGAAAAGACACCTACCGTTAACCCTATCTACACCCCTCATGATTTTATAAGCTTCTATAAGGTCATCACTCAACCTCCTACACTGCAGTGAAAAAAGTCCCAGCCTCTCTTTATAACTCAGACTCTCCATTCCCACCAACATCCTGGTAAATTTCTTCTGAATCCTTTCCAGCTTTGTAATGAAAATTGTCCTTGAAGGGAGGTTTGAGAGGAAATTTGAGAGAGATTTCAGGAGCAGAGGCTGGACAGAATAGACAGATAGACAGAAACTACTCCCTCATTAAAAAGAACAAGAGGGGGATAGAGTTAGAGAGATGTGGAGAAAGAAGCAAGTGTGAAAGGAGAAAAATCTTTTCCAGTTCGTGAGTAGCGATGGTATGGAATGTAGTGTGGTGGAGGCAAGTTCATTTGAGGCATTCAAGAGGGACATTGGGTGATTATTTGGATAGAAATGGTATGCAGGGATATGGGGAAAAGGCAGGAGGTTGGCATGAGGGGATAGAACCAGCACAGGCAAGATGAGCTGAATGACGCCCATTAGCAACGTAGCAATTCTATGATTCTCAAAGGTAGCCATGATGGTGTTGGACTGGGATGGGCAAAGTCAGAAGTCACACAACACCAGGTTTTGGCTCTTCACCTGACGAAGGGGCAGTGCTACGAAAGCTTGTGATTTCACATAAGCCTGTTACGCTACAACCTGGTGCGGTGTGACTTCTAACGCGATTCTCAACCACAAAGGAAACGTGAAGATCTTTCAACGGGGTTTATTAACTTCTGCAATGTGAGCTAGGCCAGCATTTACTGCTTAACCATGCCTGCCCTCGAGAAGGTGCGGACAATTTGAGAGAAGATTTTGGCTTAATAAAAACACTCCCTTGTCGAGGGTCAGTTTTGACTTTGTGTTCAATTCACAAGTGGGGCTTGAACCCCCAACATATAGGAATTAGATAGAGGTAAGTGCTGTCAACTGAGCCCATTAGGCCTGATTGTCACTTCTTCAAGAAATACTCCAAATGGTAGAAGGTCAATGACAGTACATTCCTACCTAACGCACCAAAAAAAAAGCAAGTTGTAAGCTGGAAGAAACATGACGAATCTTTTCCCCTGACAGATTTTGCAGCTGTTTCCTTCATCTCCTGCCGCAGCATGGGAATACTTATGGAAGACAGCGGCTTGGAAATGGAAAATAAGAAATACGGGACTGAATATCTACAGCTGAACTCGGATGTGCTAATCGCCACGGTTACCAAGACCAACAAAACCCGCCAAAACACCACTTTCACCATCAAAAAGAAAAATGTGGGTAAAATTTGGGCAGACTCCACCCCCGTCACATGGTTTTCAGTTGAAGTTGACACGGAGAATGCTGGAGAATTTTAACAGGTCTGGCAGTATCTGTGGAGAGAGACAGGGATAGGATTAATGTTTCGAGTCCAGTGTGACTCTTCATCAGAACCCAGTTAACTCATTCAGTTAAAGCACACTCTATGTTATATTCATAAGACAGGGCAGCAAGAGGAGGCCATCTTGCCTGCCCTTAACGCTACAGGATGTGTGAGATCCCAGAATGAAATCTGGCAGGATAGACTTATTGACATATATCCAACAAGATTGTCATCCAACAAGGCTGCATGTTTTCTTAACAGCAAGATACATGTTCATTGCAGAAAATTTAAATAACAAACCAAACTGCCTAAATGTAGCTTGAAGAATCTTAAAGCACAAAGTCCCCAATGCCAACAGTTTACAGTGATTCAAATTGAGGGAAATTACACTTTTGAATTAAATCATTATGTTCAACTAAACAATTACTCACCAGTTCTGATCTGTTGAGATGAGAAGACTTTAGTTTTAGTACTGCAGGGCAAAATGTGTTTTTGCAGGTTTGAAGGGCCGAAGAGCCTGTTCCTGTGCTGTATTGTTCTTAGTAATAACTCCTACAAGGCCAAAGGGGAATCATTAAATTAATCTCCTGGGAGAGTTTGTCGAGTATGAGTACCCTTGGTAACAGGCAATTACATTCCCAAGCTCAAACCCATCACCTAAGCCCTTAAAAAAAGCAGATCCAGGGATGGATCTAAAGAACTGACTGTCCCAGGCTAGGATTAGCCTATCTATGGTACAAGTAGTGACTCTATTTTTCTGTTCAACAATAAACAATGTTCCTTTCTAGTCAGTATCCTGACTTAACCCAAGGAACATTCTTACATTAGTGTGCTCACAATATTGAGAGCTTAGACTTTCTTAGCTTCATAATAGTCTGCAAATCTCAAACTAACATCCTCATCTGGAAGCATCACAAGCTACTTTTAGATGAAGGTATCTGGGTTTTGCCTGAACTGTCCTGTAATCAGAGGTAGGAGAAAACCTATATTTCCTTCAGATCCCAGTCATGCCTCCTCTAAAACTGCCCTAAAAGCTTTCAAGCAATAGGTTTTGTTTAGCTAAAGTCAATGAAGGTTAATGCCTTGCAATGCTTATATTACCAGTTCTGAAGCACACAGTATCAGTAATCTATGTTATAGCCCATTAACACTCCAGGGGCACATAGTCACTTACTCTCAGAGACATAAAGGATTAGATCAACATTCTGGAAGGACTCTCTGAATTTCTTCTCTCTGAAACCCTTCAAAAAAGTAACAAACACACCATGCCACTAGTTTGAAATTCCAACACAAAATAGGATGTTACTATATAATTAAATGCTATACATTTCATCACACATTCCCATTACTGTGATGTCAGTTATAATACACAACAGGAAACGCACACAGGTATATAAGAGAGTGTTACAGTGACGGGTGTGGGGTATATCAGAGAGTGATACAGTGAGGGGTGTGGGGTATATCAGAGAGTGTTACAGTGAGGGGTGTGGGGTATATCAGAGAGTGTTACAGTGAGGGGTGTGGGGTATAACAGAGAGTGTTACAGTGAGGGGTGTGGGTTATATCAGAGAGTGTTACAGTGAGGGGTGTGGGGTATATCAGAGAGTGTTACAGTGAAGGGTGTGGGGTATATCAGAGATTGTTACAGTGAGGGGTGTGGGGTATAACAGAAATTGTTACAGTGAGCGGTGTGGGGTACATCAAACAGTGTCACGGTGAGACAACAAGGTGCAGGGCTGGATGAACACAGCAGGCCAAGCAGCATCATAGGAGCAGAGAGGCTGACGTTTCGGGCCTAGACCCTTCATCAGAAAAGGGGGAGGGGAAGGGGGTTTTGAAATAAATAGGGAGAGAGTGGGAGGCGGATAGAAGAGGGATAGAGGAGAGGATAGGTGGAGAGGAAACAAACAGGTCGAAGAGGCGGGGATGGGGCCAGGAAAGGTGAGTGTAGGTAGGGAGTTAGGAAGGGGATAGGTCAGTCCAGGGAGGACGGACAGGTCAAGGGGGCGGGATGAGGTTGGTCGGTAGGAGATGGAGGTGCGGCTTGAGGTGGGAGGAGGGGATAGGTGGGAGGAAGAACAGGTTAGGGAGGCAGGGACGAGTTGGACTGGTTTTGGGATGCGGTGGGGGGAGGGGAGATTTTGAAACTTGTGAAATCCACATTGATACCATTGGGCTGCAGGGTTCCCAAGCGGAATATGAGTTGCTGTTCCTGCAACCTTCGGGTGGCATCGTTGTGGCACTGCAGGAGGCCCAGGATGGACATGTCGTCTGAGGAATGGGAGGGGGAGTTGAAATGGTTCGCGACTGGGAGGTGCAGTTGTTTGTTGCGAACCGAGCGTAAGTGTTCTGCAAAGCGGTCCCCGAGTCTCCGCTTGGTTTCCCCGATGTAGAGGAAGCCACACCGGGTACAGCGGATGCAGTATACCACATTGGCAGATGTGCAGGTGAACATCTGCTTGATGTGGAAAGTCTTCTTGGGGCCTGGGATGGGGGTGAGGGAGGAGGTATGGGGGCAGGTGTAGCACTTCCTGTGGTTGCAGGGAAAAGTGCCGGGTGTGGTGGAGCTGGAGGGGAGTGTGGAGCGGACAAGGGAGTCACGGAGAGAGTTGTCCCTCCGGAAAGCAGATAAAGGTGGGGAGGGAAAGATGTCTTTGGTGGTGGGGTCGGATTGCAGATGGCGGAAGTGTCGGAGGATGATGCGTTGGATCCGGAGGTTGGTGGGGTGGTACGTGAGGACGAGGGGGATCCTTTTTTGGTTTTTATTGCGTGGACGGGGTGTGAGGGATGAGGTGCGGGAGATGTGGGAGACACGGTTGAGGGCGTTCTCGACCACCGAGGAGGGGAAGTTACGGTCCTTGAAAAACGAGGACAACTGAGATGTACGGGAGTGGAATGCCTCATCCTGGGAGCAGATGCGGCGGAGGCGAAGGAATTGGGAATAGGGGATAGCATTTTTGCAGGAAGGTGGGTGGGAGGAGGAGTATTCTAGGTAGCTGTGGGAGTCGGTGGGCTTGAAATGAATATCGGTTTCGAGGTGGTTGCCCGATATGGAGACAGAGAGGTCCAGGAAGGGGAGAGAGGTGTTAGAGATGGTCCAGGTAAATTTAAGGTTGGGGTGGAAGGTGTTAGTGAAGTGTATGAACTGTTCGAGCTCCTCGTGGGAGCACGAGGCGGCACCAATACAGTCATCAATGTAACGGAGGAAGAGGTGGGGTTTAGGGCCGGTGTAGGTACGGAAGAGGGATTGTTCCACGTAACCTACAAAGAGGCAGGCGTAGCTTGGGCCCATGCGGGTACCCATGGCTACCCCCTTTGTCTGTAGGAAGTGGGAGGAATTGAAAGAGAAGTTGTTGAGTGTGAGGACGAGTTCGGCTAAGCGGATGAGGGTGTCAGTGGAGGGGGACTGGTCGGGCCTGCGGGACAGGAAGAAGCGGAGGGCCTTAAGGCCATCTGCATGGGGAATGCAGGTGTAGAGGGACTGGACGTCCATGGTAAAGATGAGGTGTTGGGGACCGGGGAATTGGAAGTTCTGGAGGAGGTGGAGGGCGTGGGTGGTGTCACGGACATAGGTAGGGAGTTCCTGGACCAAGGGGGAGAAAATGGAGTCGAGATAGTTGGAGATCAGTTCGGTGGGGCAGGAGCAGGCGGAGAGAGTTGTGTGATATAATAGAGCTTGTGTTAATACAGCAAATATTAGAGGCTTTATTCTGTCTTGTTCTACATGTAGTGTTATCTGATTGCTGTCTGTTCACAGGTCAGTGATGTTGACGATTATACTGTCTGTGTGCACTGGAACACTCACATGAATACCTGGTCCACCAAAGGCTGTTTGAAAATGCGTTCGAATGTTTCACACACCGTCTGTCAATGCACACACTTCAGTAGTTTTGCCCTGCTGGTCGCACTCTACAAGGTGGAGGTAGGAGTTTGTGCAAATTGTAAAGACTGGCATGAGCCAGGACAGGGTCAGTACTTGATAGCAGCAGTTCTCTTCACCACTTCAACCCATGCTGTTTTATCGAGTGGGCTGAAAGGAAACGTATTTAACAGAATTGATTTCCATGTAATTGGATTGGGACATGGAGCGAGAATCTATTCAAAAGGGACTCAGTTGCTCTGGAGATGTGGGCTTCGCTGTTGAAATTGCTTTTTCTGATGTTCCTTGCAATCCAATCATCACTGGGTTACCTATCTGATCCTCACCAGAAGAGGAAGAAGCTGTTAATTAAAAAAAACACAGAGAATGATGGAGGATTCAGCAGGTCTGGCAGCACCGATGGAGAGAGAAACAGTGTCAATGTTTCATTTTTTTCTGAAGAAGAGTCCCGACCCGAAACATCAGCCTTCCTGCTCCTCTGATGCTGCTTGGCCTGCTGTGTTCATCCAGCTCCACACCTTGTTATCTCATAATGTTTCAGGTCTGATTCTTTTGTAGAACAGTTCTGAAAAAGAGTGATATCGGACTTGAAACGATAACTCTGTTTTTCTCTCCCCACAGACACTGCCAGACTTGATGAGTTTCTCCTGCATTCTCTGTATTTGTTTCAGATTTCCAACATCCGCAATATTTTTGCTTTTGTTTGAGAAGTTATTCATGTTGGGTCAGTGAGTTACTGCAGTGTTCCCAGGTGTAGTAGGCATTCATTCACTAAGGCTAGTGTTGAAATTCACCAAAGACCCTCAGGCAGCACCCTCCAAACCCGCGACCACTTCCATCTAGAAGGACAAGGGCAGCAGATACATGGGAACACCACCCCCTGCAAGTTCCCCTCCGAGCCACTCGCCATTCTGACTTGGAAATATATCACCGTCCCTTCACTGTCGCTGGGTCAAAATCCTGGAATTCCCTCCCTCAGGGCATTTGGGTCAACCCAAAGCACGGGGACTGCAGCAGTTCAAGAAGGCAGCTCACCCTCACCTTCTCAAGGGGCAACTAGGGACAGGCAATAAATGCTGGACCCGGCCAGCAATGCCCATATCCCATGAGTGAATAAACAAAACGACGCTGCTCTGTTTGAAATGTCCTCACTACACCACACAACCTACTGTAATGATGAAGGCTGCGACCTGTTTAAGTGTAAGAAATTGCAGATCCTGCTTAGTCTAGTGTGTCAGAGCAACTGGTTCAACTAAAAGAGTTTCTTGTCATTAACAAGATACAGTTTATCACACGTTAGGTACAGATCATATTGGCATGAGTGACATAGTTATAGAGACGTTGAGAGGAATGAGATGTGAGATACACTCCTTCAGGATCATGAGCTGTTCCCCTCACAAGTCCATGTAGTATCATCACGCTGGGATGGCATTCAGTCTTAATCTTTTCTGACCCAAATAGGCCAGTTTGCTTCCTTGGGAAGACCCGTGCCAGTTTCTAGATTCTGGAGAGAATTACAACAAAGGAGAGGAAATGTCACAATTTTCAATGAACGCAACCTCCCGTGAACCAGGTTATTTCGCTTTTGAGGATGTTTTACAAGTTTAATGGGTGCCATATAAATGCATCCTGTTGCGCAGTCGACTTACTCCAATTGTCATCCAATCTATCCAATGCCTTTCCAACACTGAGCTCAGAAACCCACAGAGCCTGCTCCACCGAATGGACAAAGGGAACTTCTCCTGAAATGTTAATCACAGTGACCTGTAAACATTGGCTTTCCTTCTGAGGAATTATGCCCTTAGGGACCACCTGTGTGCTGCCCCCTTGCTGGGACAAGTTGTACTAAACACCAACTTGACATCACATTTGTCAACCGCGGGATTTGACACTGGGGAGGTGAGGGATGGAACTTATTGCTCGTCGTTTACACAGCCCAGGAGAGTGGGCATTGACCCAGCTCTCCAACTGCCACAGTTCGGTTAATTCGCTCTTCGTGACTCTCTTCTGTAGTGGCTAATTGTCAAACCATTGCAGCAGCTCAAAGCCAACCTCATTGCTGGGGGTTTGGAGTCACAAATGGAGGCCAGACTGGGCAAATTTGGAAAGTTTTCTCTCCTGAAACAACATGAGTGAACCAGATGGGGTTTTGCAACAATCCAATAGTTCTAAGATGACTATTATTTGCTTTATTATTGTCGCATATCACTAGGTACAGTGAAAAGCTTTGTGTTGCATGCAGTACAGCTGATGGCCTAGTGGTATTATCACTGGACTGTTAATCCAGTGACCTGGGTGATATTCTGGGGACCTGGGTTCGAATCCTGCCACAGCAAATCTGAATTCAATACAAGTATGGAATTAAGAGTCTAATGATGACCATGGAACAATTGTTGACTGTTGGGGACGAAACCCACCAGATTCACTACTGTCCTTTGGAGAAGGAAGCTGCCATCCTTACCTGGTCTGGTCTACATGTGAACCTAAACCCACAGCAATGTGCTTGACTCTCAACTGCCCTCTGGCCAATATATGCTGGTCTAGCCAGAGATGCTCCCATCCCATGAATGAATAAAGGAAAAATGGAATTATACTGTGCATTAGGGTAACAGAGCAGTGAATACAATGTATTAGAGATAGTAGGAACTGCAGATGCTGGAGAATCTGAGATAACAAGGTGTAGGAGCAGAAAAGCTGATGTTTCTGATGAATGGTCTAGGCCCGAAACGTCAGCCTTCCTGCTCCTATGACGCTGCTTGGCCTCTGTGTTCATCCAGCTCTACACCTTGTTATCAATGAATACAATGTTATGGCTGTAGAGAAGAGTGAGATCAACATTAAATTGAAGATTATGAGACGAACGTTAAATTCCAGGTGAGTGAATTAAATATTTTTACGATATTGTGGGATTTGAACTTCTGAACTGGATTCTATATTGAGTATATTATCACTAAACAATTGCAAATATCTTTGTTACAACAGCGAACTCAGAGTCTTGTCTGTCTAAAGGCCAGCCATTCTTTCACTCTTTAGGGTCCTGCTCTGACCACCATCACTTACATGGGAATTATTACCTCGCTAGTGTGCCTTGCCATCGCTATCATCACCTTCACCATGTGCCGGCCGATCCACAGCACACGCACTACCATCCACACCCACTTGTGCCTGTGCCTGTTTGTGGCGGAACTGCTGTTTCTCGTTGGGATATCAGCAACAAACAGCAAGGTGAGAGTGGCAGCAAGAATGCACGTGCACTGTGAGTGAGAGGAAACCCAAGTAGTCCATTCAGCCCATCGAGTCTGCTCTGCTGTCACATCCGGCTTTCCCACCAGCTCCCCCCCATCTCCTTGATGCCCTGTAAGTTCAGAAATCAGTCTCTCCCAGTCTTAAACCTATCCAGTCACCGACAACCCTCTGGGGTAGAGACTTCCAAAGTTTCATGACCGTGAAGCAATTTCTCCTCATCTCCATTAGACGTAGGAGCAAACGTGGGCCATTCAGCCCATCGAGTCTGCTCCCCCATTCAATGAGATCCTGTCCGATTTGATGATCCTCGATGCCACTTCCCTATCTTTTCCCCAGAACCTTCCATTCACTTCCTGATTGAAAAGCTCTCTGTCCCAGCCTTAAATATACTTAATGACACAGCCTCGACAGACCTCTGAGGTAAAGAATTCCACAGATTCACTCCCCTCTGAGAGAAATGTGTGAAATGTGTGACCCTTTATTTTGCACTCTAATCCCACAATCTCTCACAAGGGGAGAAAATCTCTTCACCCCTACCCTGTTAAGTCCCCTAAGAATCTTTTGTGTGTCAATAAGGTCACCTCTCATTCTTGTAAACCACAGTGAATACAGGCCCAACCTATTTAACCTGTCCTCATAAGACAGTCCTTCTATACCCGGTATCAATGCAGCGAACCTTCTCTGGACCGTCTGAAATGCCAGATGATCTTTCCTTAGATCAGAGGCCCAAAAACTGCAAGCAGTATTCCAGCTGTGATCTGACTTGTACAGCTATTGCAAAAGCTCTCCTACTCAGTGCTAAAAGATTGACCCTGTCTCCTGAGACTCTGTCCCCATAGTGTAGACTCTCCAACTAATGGGGCATCAGCACAGGAGTAGGCCATTCAGGCCATCGAACCTTCTCTGCCGTTCTCAGTCGTGGCTGATTGTCCAACTCAACCTCACGTTCCCACAATTACCGCCATATGCCTTGATGCAGTGAAGGTCATTCCAGTGGGAACTGGATTGTTACATCGGAACATAGGGACAGGAGCAGGCCATTCTGCCCCTCAGGCTGGTTCTGCCATTCAATGAGATCGTGGCTGATCTGTGGCCTTACTCCATAGATCTGTCTTTGGCCTAAATCCCTTAATACCTTTTGTTTAACAAACCAATCATCCATCTCAGGTTTAAAATTAACAACTGCATCCACTGCCATTTGTGGAAGAGAGTTCCAAACCTCTCCCAAATTTGTGTGTCAAAGTGTTTCCTAACATCTCTCCCGAACGGTCTGGCCCTAATTCGCAGACTATGAGCCCTTGTTCGAGCATCCCTAACCAGTGGGAATAGTTTATCTTTTTCTACCCTGTCTTCTCCTGTTAATATCCTGAAGACTTTGATTAGATCATATGTTAACCTTCTCAATTCCGGAATAAACAGGCCTCATTTGTCAACTCAAAACCCCTGGAGTCCAGGTATCATTCTTGTACTCCCTCTAAGGACAGTCTATCCTTCCTAAGGCGTGGTACCCAGATCTGCTCGCTGTGCCGACTCTCGGTTACCTGATCCTTCTCCATACTGACCCCTCACCCCACCACCACAGCCCCCCAGTTGGAGCGAAGTTGGCACAGATTTATGATCCCAACTTGATCTCTCCATCCAGCGTGTGGCTCACGGCCAGGCGCATTTCCCTGCTGTGCCACCGGGTGGCCACAGTGCTTGGAATGTTCCTTGAGGAACACCATGAGGATGGTGAGGCGTGGAGGTGAAGCGTTCCTTGGGTTTGAGCGACTCATGCCCAACCCAGGGAGGAGGAGACACCCCCCCAACTTTTCGAGATGGCGTGGCCCTCGAGAACGGTCACCGAGGTTACCGGGCTCCATCTTGAGGCCTCCAACTCCGAAGGAAGGCGACTCAAGATGGAACCCAAGGCTCTCTTGCGTTGGGTAAAGCAACCATCTGAGTGATTGTCTTTGTCCCCAGGCTGTGTGCGCGGCCATTGCTGGAATCCTTCACTACCTCTTCCTGGCGTGTTTTATGTGGATGCTACTGGAAGGTGTCCAGCTTTACCTGATGGTGGTCAAAGTCTTCTGGACCCAGAGCCTCCGAGGGAGATACACTCAGCCTATTGCCTATGGCATCCCAGCTATAATCGTCGTTATCTCAGCCGCAGCTGACCCGACCGGATATGGCACCAGAGAATAGTAAGTCAACCTCTTTTTGTCCTTCGGTGTCCTCGACATTCCATTTCTGACGGGCACCTACCTGGGCACTCACGTCCGTGCCCGCATGTTCGGATTTTGGAGTGGAAGTCGGACTGCCAACCACATGTCATTTTCCAAAGGAGAGTTAATCAGCATTTTTAATAATAGGCAAAGGTTTCCATGAGAGATCATGGCAACACCAGCTCTGCCCACGTGCACTGTAAATTTTGTTCACTTTGTTTATTCCCCTCACGCCTCCTCCTCACCCCTTTAGTCTTGCGAGCTTAGGTGAAAATAACCGGCAACAAATCTTTAGGTTTCACCAAGGCAAAGGTTAGTTTATCACAGAACTACAACTCAAAGTTATTCCAGTTTACTCCCACAGTGCAAAGGTTAGGGTGGATTGGCCATGCTAAATTACCCATAGTGTCCAGGGATGTGCAGGTTAGGGTAGATTGGCTGTGATAAATTGCCCATAGTGTCCAGGGATGTGCAGATTAGGGTGGATTGGCCATGCTAAATTGCCCATAATGTCCAGGGATGTACAGGTTAGGGGGGAATTGGCCATGCTAAATTATCCATAGTGTCCAGGGATGTGCAGGTTAGGGTAGATTGGCCATGCTAAATTACCCATAGTGTCCAGGGATGTACAGGTTAGGGTGGATTGGCTGTGCTAAATTACGCATAGTGTCCAGGGATGTGCAGGTTAGGGTAGATTAGCCATGATAAATTGCCCATAGTGTCCAGGGATGTACAGGTTAGGGTGGATTGGCCATGCTAAATTACCCAGAGTGTCCAGGGATGTACAGGTTAGGGTGGATTGGCCATGCTAAATTACCCATAGTGTCCAGGGATGTGCAGATTAGGGTGGATTGGCCATGCTAAATTGCCCATAGTGTCCAGGGATGTACAGGTTAGGGTGGATTGGCCTTGGGAAATATGGGGATAGGGTGGGGGCCTGGGTCTGGGTGGGACTGCCAGCAGAGGGTCAGTGTGGATGCAATGGGCCAATTTTTTTTTTCTATTCATTTGTGGGATGGCCCAGCATTTATTGCCCATCCCTAGTTGCCCCTTGAATGGCTTGCTTCCGTACTGTAGAGATTCTACCATCCAATCCTCAGAGAAATGGTAAATCCCCCAGAAGGGGAAAAGTTGTCACTCGCAAACTGAGACATATTTTGTTCTCCTCGAGTTGTAGGCCTCAGGACAGAGTAAGACCTATTGCAGTTTTCTTTTAAAACTGGTCCTCCGTGTCTGGGTTAGTTTGGAAAGAAAGCAGTGTGGTTCAGAGGGGGTGGGGATAGAGCTGAGAAGTAAGGATCAACTGGGAATTGCAGCCCATTCCCTGAACTAACACACATTTTTCTCGCCCCCTTGCAGTTGTTGGCTGTCGATGGAGAAAGGTTTTCGATGGAGCTTTGTGGGTCCCCTGTGTGTGATCTGTCTGGTGAGTGACTCTGTGGGATCTCCCTGTGCGAGCTCTCTCTCTGGTCAGTG